GGCTGGCGTCAGAACGTGAAGTACGCTTGGCCGTTTCTTCTCGAAGAACACTGCTCTTCACGTTGCTTCTAACTCATTCTTACACTTCCTTGTGATCTGTTGGGAATCATTTTCAAAGACCACGATGTTAGGCAGACTGTATGAAACTGACTCTCCAGCAGGCAGGCTCTTGCAGCATCACAAGGTTCAATAGTCGACGTTGAACCTTGCTCTTGTTAAGGCAGGGCCTCGGTCAGCGTTCCTCCCCCATGCGCGCCTTGGCTATTACTGGCCGATGAGCTCACCTTAATTTCGGCCACTCATTTACGGAACTGTGACAGATCGACGATAGGAAGAGGGGAGCCTGGAAACTCAGTGCACGTCCGGCCCCTTCGTGACGTGTGAGTCTCAGACCAGTGACCCCTTTGTCAGGTCACTGTTTTCCCGCTGGTGAAAACCGGGGATGCAGAGACGCTTCCTAGTTATGGGACAGTGTTTCGTTTTCCTTTGTTTGTTAGGGCCCAAGCAGCTACATTTAACTATTAGTTTTCTTTTGCTCCACTTCAAAATATAGCAAACCTATCCCAGGGTGCCCAGAGTCACATTGTAGCCACGTTGGATGGGCAGAGGCACTCTAGACAGTGGAAGGGTCACAGTGTAGCCATTTAGGAAGGGCAGGACCACAGTGTAGCCACGTCAGTTGGGCAGGGCCACAGTGTAGCTGTGTCAATTAGGCAGGGCCTCAGGGTAGCCACGTTCAAGGACAAGGCCACAGTGTAGCCATATTGGAAGGGCAGGGCCTCAGTGTAGCCATGTTGGATGGACAGGACCACAGTGTAGCCATGTGTGCTAGTCAGAGTTACAATGCAGCCCTGCGTGCTGCATCCTATCTCCTGCAAGTCTGCACATCTGCTGCAGGTCCACACCACCACTTAGGGTTTGTGAGCACGCCCAGAAAGGCGCGTCCCATCTGGGAAGTCTTGTCTGGTTCCAGGGGCACGTGGTAGGTGGAAGCCTTTTTGCTGACCCTTTCTTTTTTCGCACTGTATTAGTGGAGACGTCTCCTTCTCCCCTCTGTTGTGGACACACTGTTGGTAACTTTGTTTGTTTGTTTTTTCTCCTTGGGCTTTCCTTAGCTTGGCTACTGCGTAAGTACTTTATGAATCACTGAATTAGCACACATGATATATTTGATGATTTAAGCATTGGAAAGTATTTTAGTTTTCTGTGTATATGCTACAAATATCGTCAGTGAAGTATTTAGAAAATAAGATGGAACTGTTACCTGTGTTTTCTACATTTTCTTGTAGAAATACTTCTCAACAGAGAGACCACTGTGAGCACACGATCGTGCTGTGTGTACACTTATGTGGCCCTGCTCAAAGGCATAGGTTTTTCATGCTGTGAGAACAAGACTGTGTTCCTGGCAGCCTCTGTGTGGTTCGGTTCCTGCTCCGCCTTGCTGTGGGCCAGGTGCCTTTACTGTCCCTGCTCTCTGCGCCACGCCCTGGGACAGCTGGGACCGTCGCGAGGAAGACGCCGGTCTGTTCTGTTGCTTGGTTGGCTTTTTTTTTAAGCTTCCAGTCCATGTACTGTTTGTTTTTTCCCCCAGTTTTTCTTTGCCACGGGGTACACTCACTTGCCTAGAGAGAGACAGAGAGAAGGGAAAGTGAAAAAGCACCCCTAAAGGAGGTGGCCACCCCACCCCCTTCTCCTCCGTTGTCCTGGGATTCTGAGCACATATGCACACACGCCTGGTGAGGTTCTCTGCCTGGTCTGGGACTCGAACCACGGCTGTGGAAGAGTCCAGTGCCTTAATCACTGTTCCACCTGCTGGCCTCCTCCATATACTTGTACATCAATATTTTTATAAACTATAATAAGGCCCAATTACTAGAAAGATTTAGAAAGACACAAAATAGGGAAGTCCCCAATTTTTATTAAATATTGGGTTGTCGGAGAAGTCACTACGCGCTTTTTGTAGGAGAGTAGAGGGAGTACGTGGCGACCCCCCATGGCCTAGCCCGGCAGACTGCGGTGTCACCGCACGCGGTCTGACGTCTTTCTACTCGGCCTGGTCCTTGGTCGTCTCAGACTGGAAATGGACCGTGGCCGACCGGCTCCAGCCCGCAGACCACACTGATGGCCGGTGGGGGAGAGCTGCACGTCCCGGGAACATTCTGAGTAAAGAGCGATCCCAGAGACCTGGGAAGACTGCCCAACCTGTGAGAGGCCAGAGAAGCTGGCAGCCTCCAGTCCAGGGCACCGTGGAGGTCTGTGCTGCGTCTGAAATAATGAAAGGAGGATTCTTCCCATTCTCTCTAAGTTTCTTATTTCTTTCTTCCGAGTGGAGATCTGAGAGAGGGAAAAAAAAGGAGGGGGTGAGGGCAGGGAGGGGGTGAGGAGCAGGACCCCCAGGGTCTGCACCTTGTGGTCCAGCCTAGTCTAGCCTGGGTCGTGGGCGTGTGTGGCTGCACCTGGGCTGTGCAGGGGGAACTTGGGGCACGAACCCGGGACCTTCCTGGGTGGGCCGTGTCCTCTGTGGGTCCTCTGCTGTGAGGCTGGGGTGGGGGGAGGGAATAGCGGAGCAGCAGGCCACCAGAAGCACTGTCCGCGGCATAGGACTTGGGCCCCTGCTTTAAATGTTCACATCAAAGATTGAATGAGAAGAAAATAGCTTCTTCCATTATAAATTTGTGGTAGAAATTGGCGTAACATTTTCTCCATGAGTAATGGACCTGCTGTGTTTCTTGGCACATGTGGGTTCCCAGTAGATGGTCATTCTTCTCTGGCCAGGCAGTGCATTATGGGTCCACACAGCTGATGCAGTCCTGGGGCTGCAGTGCTGGGAGCCACGGGCCGGCCGTAGGTTCAGATCCCAGGTTGGCCTGAAAACAGCTCGCGGTGCATGCTCCGGCCTCCAGGGTCCCGAGGAGCAGCAGAGCTGGAGAGGGGGTCACGAGAGACCCGTCAAGGTCTCTCTCTCTCATTCACTCTCAGGCCTGGGCATGCTCTCTGTTGTTAAAAGAATTTTAAAAAGTAAAAGACAGAGCGTGGCCCAGGAGACTTGCACCCTGAACGCCCACACACGGTGGGACGCAACACATTTGCGGAATGGAAACCAAAGATACCGCGACCTTTGGAAATGTGCTTTGTTCATGAGGAAAGGTGAAAAAAAATTTTTTTAGACTTTTTTTCTTTGAAATAAATCAGAAAATAAGACGAAAACAGTACCTGAGTTTTGCTATAAACTGTAAGAAAATTGTGATGAACGCAGCAGACTTGCAAGGTCCTTGCACGGTTGTCCTCCATCTCTGGGCCGCTTGTGGCACTATGACCGCACAGCTGGGTCCGAGGCCGGCTGGGGCGTGCAGTCGGGGCGTCGTGGCCTCCTCCAGCTGTTTCTGCTGCTCTGCTGGAGAGTTCGGCCTTGGAGTGGGGAGTAAGCGGGTACAGCGGCAGCTGCCTGTGTACATGGCGGCTAGGTGCCCAGGGGCCAGCGTGGTGGGCGTGCTCATGGGTCAGACACCCTGTCTGGGGGGACCTGGGTGGTCCCCATCTCCTTCCCTTATTTTTCTATTGAGTTTAGGGTTTGCTGGGGGGTGGAAGCGGGAGCACAGACACATGACTGACCGCACCATGGACCACGGCTTTGGGAGTCAATAAGCTTTCGCGTTTTCTTCGGCTCAGGGTTGTCGTCTGACCCCCTTGCCTGTTTTCCCTGTTGGTGGCCCTCCAGCCAGGGTGGCCCTCCAGCCGGGGCAGACCTTACCTGTTCGTTCTGTGTTTTCCAGCTGAGGTCAGGAGGTGCCCAGGTGCTGGAAGGCTGCATCGCCGAGATCCACAATATCACCAGCCTTGACATCTCCGACAACGGTGCGTCCGGCTCCCAGGGAGGTGCTCGCTGGGGAGGGGACCAGGCCTCCCAGCCTGGCCGGGCAGCCGCTGGGTAGGAACCTTATTTCCTCTCATGGGTCAGACACCCTGTCTGGGGGGACCTGGGTGGTCCCCATCTCCTTCCCTTATTTTTCTATTGAGTTTAGGGTTTGCTGGGGGGTGGAAGCGGGAGCACAGACACATGACTGACCGCACCATGGACCACGGCTTTGGGAGTCAATAAGCTTTCGCGTTTTCTTCGGCTCAGGGTTGTCGTCTGACCCCCTTGCCTGTTTTCCCTGTTGGTGGCCCTCCAGCCAGGGTGGCCCTCCAGCCGGGGCAGACCTTACCTGTTCGTTCTGTGTTTTCCAGCTGAGGTCAGGAGGTGCCCAGGTGCTGGAAGGCTGCATCGCCGAGATCCACAATATCACCAGCCTTGACATCTCCGACAACGGTGCGTCCGGCTCCCAGGGAGGTGCTCGCTGGGGAGGGGACCAGGCCTCCCAGCCTGGCCGGGCAGCCGCTGGTTAGGAACCTTATTTCATCTCTGACTAACAGGATGCTTTACTGTAACTGTGGAGGGTGTTTGTGGGATGGGTCTGAGCCAAAGTCTTACTAGGCTGATCCCCTGGCCAAGTGAGCAGGTTCCGTGCAGCAAAACTTTAAAACTGGTCACCAGCTCTGTGATGGGTCTGCGCTCAGCCGTGGCGTCCTCGGTGACAGGAAGATGTCGCCCGTTTCCTGCGCTGATCCAGAAGCCCACGTCACTGGCTTCTTTCCGGCCGGCTAGTAGCATGTCGTGTGGACGTGTTACAGCTGCATGGACAGCACCCACTGCAGTTACGGCCAGCAGGCAGGACAGCGGCAGAGAGAGGAGAGACAGCCGGAGGGGGGGGGG